TTTTTTAAATCAGCTATATTATTTTATATAGATAAGCAATATACCTAGGAATCCAATATTTAAAAAAGATGTAACATTATTTTCTATTTATTTTAGGATTAGTCAATTTCAATTAAATCTAACAGAGACAGAGAAAGTATCAAATTAAAAAATATAAAATTTACATCTATAATTATATCCAAACAAAATGATTATTTTATTCATTTGTCTCCAACTATTCTCATTTCTAAAAAGGTTTTATATTTTGTTTAATGTTGGAATTGAATTAATTCCACGTTTTATCTAAATAATTATTTCATATTTTTTATTGATTATCATTTTATTTTTAATCATAATTTAAATTTTATTATTTGATATATTACATTTTTATTTTCAAAGATAAATTACATTTTTTTTATCCCCTTCAACAAAAACAATTTTTCTTTATATATCTTTTTTTTTAAACAATAATAAAAAAAATAACTAATACAAATTGATGTATAAAAAAAATGTTAATATAAAATTTTCACCGATTAAATTTAAATACAAATTGATATATAAAAAAATAAATCAATTGCCAAAATAAATAATAAAATAACATCGATCAACATATAACATAATAAATTATTATGTCATAAAAAATTAGGGTATAAATTTACTTATAAAAATCTAAAGTCTGATAAAATGAAAAATATATACCTGAGTCATGAAATTTTTTGAATTGGTTAAGGGTCAATGATAGGTGTGATAGTGCTTAATAGAACAAATTATCACATATCCTTTAATGGTTGAATTTAAAATAAATGAATATTAAATTAAAAAGAATAAGGAAAATAAGGTTACCTCTTTTATTGAAAGGATAGGATTATTAGGTGAAAGAGAATTTGTATTTTTTATTGTTATTCATCTATGTTAAAATTTACCTATAAAAATTAAAAATTTTAATAGTCAGATAAAAGGAAGAATCCATACTTGTGACTCATTGATTCTTGAACTTGGTTAAGAGTCAATAGTAGGTTAGGCAGTGCTAATTATATTTAGCCCATCATTAGTAATTTTAATTTATGTGCACAATAAAAAATATTTAAACTGAATTTTTATTCATTTATTTTCAATTTATAATCTAAAAAATACTTCATAAACATATTTATTAAAAATAATGAAAAATTTTAAAATATCCCCTGATCTTAATAAATATAAATTTCTGAATAAGATCTCATAAAATAGGAAATATCCTAATTTATCCATCATTGAATAAAGGAGAAAATTATGATTCCCCATCAATCTTGATGGGCTATCCGCTAGTTTAATATATAATGATATAAAATGTTAAATTTATACATAAATTCAAGAATTGAAATAGTCTTTAAATAAATATCTTATTCCTCTTGAATTGGTACTTGATGCATTTAGAGTTCTACTGATCCCTAAATTTTAAGGAATAGATATAATATTAGGTGTTTATTCAATTTTATCATAATCAACAATATATTTTATAGGCATTTTCAACTGAGCACTTTATAGCTTTAGAATTAATGGCAAACTTATCAATGGTTATGCCAAATGTGCATTCAATCACTACTTAATTTATAATGTTTTGCTTCTGGACTGGTATTTTTCATAGGATAAGGTTTCATAAGTTTTTTAAGGTGAAGGCTAGATCAGACAATGATATTATTTGATATAGGTTTTTCTAATTCTAAGCTAATTAAAAATTATTTATTAATATTAAAAATTAACTTTGATATAAAGTACTATTTCTGAAAGTGCCACCATCACTTTGTTTTCCAGATTTTGCAGGACTTATTATTTTTATGTGCTTACCATCTAATAAGCCAAGGCAGTTTAAAAATCCATGTTTCTCCAGGCGCGTACGCACCGGGGGGGGGGCAGGGACACAACCCCCCCCCCCCCCCCAAGCCAAAAAATGCAGATGCCGGATTATATTTTTCAGCAATATTATTCTTAATATTAATTTATATTTGTTAATATTTATTCCTATCTCATATATATTTATTTACATTTATTTATCACATTCATCTACTAAGTTATTTTATTAATTAATTTCGATTTCAAGTTTTCCTTGGCGTATTTTACCTATTATTTTCAAATTTTAGTGGCGTATTATTTATCTAAATTTCTAGTCAAATAATAATTATTTCTGAAACTCCTTGTCCAACATGGAGAAAGAAATTGCAAGCATGTCCAACGAGATCGAGTCTCCGCCATCAAGCAGTAACAGCTTTTATGGAGTTAGAAGAGCCGATTATTAATGCTATTACTGAAATATTACAATGGCTATTTCCTCAGAAGCAAGAAAATTATTGGATTCAATACTTATTCTAAATTTTTTTTTCTCATTGGTATGTATTATTTAATTAAACAACTATTTTATGTAATACTTTTCAAAAACATGACATTGACTTGATAGAAGATGAGAATAACGGAGAGCATTTTATTAGAACTCAAGGAAATTAGCGCTAATGTTGATGAAGAATTTTATATGTTATTGTTGAGTCAAAAGCAGAGCTATACGTGTTTAATATTTGTCCCCCTCGACTTGCAGCCATCGTCAAAACATGAATATAGGATCGGTAGAAGAATATTATAAAACAAATGTCCCCCCTCTTAGATACATTTATAACCCAAATAAATAAATGATTTTTAATTCATCATGCAGCACTTACAAATCCGCAGATATTACTTCCACAAAAGCCTTTCCAACTTTTTTCAGATGGTGATAGAAAAAAAAATAAATATTTGTTAGTTTATCATTAAGATATTAAAATATCTTATGATGCCTTATTAGCTGAATAACTATGATTAAAGATTAACTATGGATACTAGGGATGTACCGATATTTTTTATCGGATCGGGCCGATATTTCACCTATTATAAAATATCGGTTATCGGCCAATATTTGCCGATCCGATCCGATATAAAATGGCGTCCTTAACAAAAATAAAATGTTATAAATTTTAAAAAAAAAGTTATATCTAAAATCATTTATTTTTATAAATAAAATGAAATGAAATCCATATTTTTTTAAATAATAATAATTAATTAATAAACATTCTGTCGTTTTGTTTTTTTTGTGCATTCTGTTTAGAAAAGTGTGCTATAATCTCTTCAGAATCTGTTTTTAGTGAAGCTGGTGATATTGACAGTTACCTTCGCCGCAGGCTGATTTCGGATAAATTGGAAATTTTGATATTTCTAAAAAGAAATCTTCGATATATTAATGTTAAATATTATTTTAAATATTTATAAATTTCATAATATAATTGTTTATTACTTATTACTTATTATGTATATAAATTAATGTTGTTACTTATTATATAAAAGTGATTTATAATAAAAATATTTTATATATTTTTAGGCAATAGAATTGAATATAAACTATAACTGATCATTATAATATATTTAAATGACATAAGTTATGGTATAATTAAATTAGAGATGTTATACTAATAATAAGTATATTACAAATTAAAACCATTGGTATCTTTACAGAATACAAAATTAGATATGATATCGGATCGTTTATCGGCCGATATTAATTTAATATCTGGAATATCGGATCGGATCGGCCTCTAAAAAGTGATATCGGTACACCCCTAGTTGATATAGTCCCAAAAAATGCTATGGATGCTTTGCATTATTTCAAACACATTTTAGATTATGTTCCCAATGTATCAAAATGGTTATATATATTAGCAACTCTTCCCATTAGTAAACTAATGAGATAACATTTTTTAAGAAGAATAACAGAGCCTTGCAGAGGTACTATTTGCAGTGCACAGCCCAGATTTTTTTAAAAAAATTTTCTCGGCCCGGGTTTTTTTTAAAAAAATTTTCAGGCCCGGCCCGGCCATTTTAAGTCCGGCCCGAATTTTTTTAAAATAAATTATATTTATTTTTGATTTTTATAGCTAATAATGGCGATTTCAAATATTTGGTTTTAAAATATACAGCTCGCTCGGATATTTTTTTTGAAAAAATTTTCAGGCCCAGCCCAGGTGTTTTTTTTTAAAAAATGCCCGGGTATGTTTAAAAAAGACCGGCAAGTCTCTGAAAAACATACCTATGAAATACAACTTCTGAAAGTATATTGAATGATTTGGATCTTTTGAATATTCATAAGCATTTAACGCCAAGCAAGGATAGATAATTGAAAAATTAGCTCAAAACATAAAAAATACAATTATTCCTAAGAAACAACATTTAAATTTTTTATACTTTATATATTTTAAAGGCTCAAAAAATTCAAATTTCACTTTTGGGTCATTTAAGTGATTCCTATCGTGGTTATATTCACTTTATATTTTATAATTCACATTTATTTTATAGTTTTTCAATGCCGGTTTATCTATATAATTTTTTGTAATTCACATTAATTTAAAATTGTGTATTAGAAAAGTTATTAGTCCTAATAAATTTATGCTTAGTATTTTTAATTAACAATAATATTTCTTAAAAAATGTTATTATCCCCCCCCCCCCCAGACCAAACTCCTGCGTACGCGCCTGTTTTTCTCAAAATATTTTTGTGTAATTTGAAAATATATTAATATCTAAATTTATAATACCTTCTCCCAATGTTCTCTAGTTGGAACTGGCATATGAATATCTTTTAAAGTTTTCCATATAGCCTCACATACCTCTGGAATGATGGTAACAATGCATTTTGCTTAATCTGCTTTTTAACTTAGTTTGTTTTTTCTTATTTTGATAGTTGGGTTTTGTTGAAGAATCTAATTTATAAAAAATAATATAATTATAAAAAAATGAAAAAATTATACTTGGTTTGGATACCATTGCTTTGATATGTGAAGTGAATGAAATGGTAAGTATATGAATGTTTTAATTTGGTATGATATTATCATAGGCCCGAATAAGCTATAATGATTTTTATTGGACAAATATTTTTTAAACAAATACTATTGGCTAAATTTGATTGACATTTTTGTGGATTATTATAATAGATAGATTTTTTATTAATTGTTATATTGTTAAATTAAGACGGTTTGTCAATGTATATATGCACTCAAAGATCCGTTAAATGATTCTGAATGCGTGCAAGATTTAGCTAACCTCGTCTTCGTAAATCTTAAGCGTTTTTTCGCCATATTCTTTTTGTGGGAACGTACAAAAGTTTGGAGTGAAAGTATGCACAAAGATGGGGATCTTAAAGGTTGGAATCAGTCACCTACCACTTTTAAAGATATCTTTTCATTTTTTTATTTGATTTTTTTTAAGGTCTAACGCTTATAATAAAATACTACTATGTCAAATCACATTTTATTTAGTAACCAACTCAAGTTTGTCATTGATTGTTGTTGTATATTAATTATTTTTAATAACAAAATTCATTTAAGGAAATGAAAACAAGGTGCTAAAAAAGTAAAGAATTTAGAAAAAGAATAATTTATTTAAATAATTGATATTATTGTTGAATTTTAAAACCGTTTAAAAATCTGAGTGTTGCCAAACAATAGGGATCCAAACTGTAACGCATAATCAGTTCAGATTTAGGTTCAGATTAAAATAACAGTTTAGGTTTGGCTTGAACCTTTACAACCTTGTTAAAACCTTTTCTCATATAAGCATATTAGAATTATATAAAGAAAAGAACATTTATTAAAATTTCATCACTATTCTCTAAAAAATAATATTGAACCTTATACAATTAAAATATTTTCAAAATTTGTCAAATTTAAGGAGGAAAAATAAATTTTAGGGCGGAGAACACATTATGCTTACTTGGGTAGCGGCACCATCAAATAACAATATAGAAATATCTTTAAAATTAATTAGTGATACTTATCAGTTAAAACTGATTAGTATTCATCTTTAAAAGAGTTTAAATATCAAAATGCTCAAACAAGTTAACAGACATAGAATCGGTTTAGGTTCGGATTTATTAATGGTTCGGGTTAGGTTCAGTAAATAATAACGGTTAATACCGGTTCAAGTTCGATTTGAAACCCTGTCAAACAATTTAATCTTTTTTCATTGTGTTAAACGTTCTCGATCCTAAGAAACGAGACTATTCTATATGGCTTACTCTGCACCGCGAATTCGCACGCTAATTTTGTCAGCGCTGCTTTAAGAATTCTTATATAAGCAGAATTTACCATTATAGTTTTTTAAAATATCTGATCATTACCATTTAGTTATTTGGAGTTACCTGACTATTAAATGTATTTTTTTTAGTCCAGGCGTTTAAAAAAAAATAATCACTCTATCCTACTCTAATTATTAGAAATTTTCATATTTTTAAAAGAATCCGAGGAACGCCTTAATATCACTTCTAATCTATCCTCCATAACGTTTGACGTCTTAATTCTACCTTCTTTCACTATCTTGTGCCGATGTTTTGCGCTCTTTTTCCCTAGAACTTTCAAAAAACCGCGATTTACGGAATTTATGATCAAGGAAGACCCCAGGCTAGCATATTTATCCCTAAAACTAACCCAAATAGCCGATAATCCCGTAATGCCTCCCATTTTATCTTGCGCCATTTTTGATATAACACCTACTTGTGATGGGACTTTAGCCAGCTATTTATTCGAACGAAATCCGCGTAACGCTTGGAGCTTGTACAAGATGGGAACATCCGCTCTTATAGGCCGGCATGCCTCCTGCGCTGAAAAATTTTTCGGGGCCTTGCTCGGCAAAGTTAAGTTCCCTACCCATACTTAGAAACTGATAAATAGTTTGTTTCAATTTACTAAAAATCTCCATTTTTTTCGAATAATTAAAATCTGAACTCGTTATTATTTTTATTTAAAACAAATTATTTTTTTAAAAATTTTGCAAATTGATTTAAGGTATTCAGTGACCATTTTATGTTCTGGCTGCAAGCCCTCGAAAACGTCTCACACGCCGAAAGCTTACTTGTTCAAACGTTTTCCTATTCTTTTACACCTGATTTTAATAAATTAATGAGCCTGGATTATTCATCTCTCGAAACTGCACTTGAATATCAGTATTTGGCTTTAGAAAAATTGAAGGTTTTAATGTATTTTTTTTTAAATGAAGAAAATTGTTCAAAATATTATTTATTTATTGTTAACTATTGCATTACCATAAACATATCAGGAAAAAAGTATTAATAGCATTATAAACTTTCGCTTTGCAGAATATAAATGGTGAATAAGACATCATTGCATTAGAAAGAGGTTTAGCAATTCTTTTAAATAAAAAAAAAGTTGACAAGGAAAAATTAAAAACATTATTTTCTACCTGTGATCCCATAACTATACCCCAAAAAATAAATTACTTATCTGATTCGGACAATTTCTAAACGCAATCTGTTTCAATGCCCTTTTGAATTTCATTTCCATTTCAAAAATCGAGCCTTAACTACTTCTTTAGTAATTCATTTTCGATTCAGCGATATTTCATATATTCATTGAACCTTTTGTATATTATATCTGGCAAATAACCACCTTGCTTTAAAATGAATTGTCAACCTTTTTAAATATGCCTTGATATCTTTTTAAATATTTTCGCATGGCACATATTACGTTTTTTAGTCGTGCATTAATATTAACAAAGATATTGATTACAATTTTTTAATTGGTTTCATTAATCATGTCATGTGTTTTGTCAAATCTAAATATACTTTTTTCTTTATATATCGAATAAAAGCCACTGCTAGCATATTTTCGGTTTACCCCTAAGATTTTTATCAAATTTCCTATTTTCATTGGTTCTTAAAAATAAGAGATACAATAAAAATTGCTAAGAAGGAATATTTTTTCGCAGTTGTCGATACATGGTATTTTCGAAGTTTTAAAACAAACATAAATATTTCTTTTGAAAGCAACTAATCATTTATTTTGACATTAGATAGCCACCCTCAATTTCCCTTACACTGGAACCATAGACAAAAGTGACAGCTATTATTCATCCTCATTTTCTTCTCATACCACAACACCCTTGGTTTTTCAATGCAAGTTTACCGAGTTGCGAGCTAACACTTTTATTCTTTTGTCGGAAGCCATCCTCGCGCTTAAGGGATTAATAATTTTGCCTGTTCAGACATATCTGCGATTAGATACACAAGATAGAGAAGACTTTAGAAAAATTGTAAAAGATGACCAGAGTGTGTATTTCTCAAAAAATATAAATTGTTTATATACTATATTTTTTTATCGTCAGGAGAAGTAAGAAAGCAGGGAAGGAAGGAAGGAAGGAGATAGATAGAAAAATAGAAAGAAAAATTTGATTTTAAAAAAGAGAGCTGAAATTAGATAGAAAAGAAAATTGAAAAGAAAGTCGAAATAAATAAAATCATAACCTATTTATATAAATTATTTATTATCCATAAATTATTAATAGAAGCCAAATTAAACCGTAGATTACATATAGTGACATCACGATTCGAAAAACTATTACGTTCTTATCAATATTTTTACACCACGAGGTGCTTCGATTGCGATAAAAAATCCCGAGATATAATTCGTCTTAATTTTATCGACAAGCTTTCAATCATGTCAAAAGTCTTCCAAGATCCTCTGCTCTATTATCAAGAGATAAATAAAAGTTTTATATACTTTATAATAGAGCTGGGTTTACTTTGGTGTGATATTTCGGGGTATCATAATTTTTTTCAAAAAAATGAATCGCGGGGCATGAAATCTGATTTAAATATTATCGGGTGTGTTCTGATTTTTTTTTGCATTCATGATTTACGATTTCCATATTTTTTCTAGATATTTAATTTACAATAAAATATAAATGTGTAATATAATATTTATCCGATTTGGGATCTGGAAAAAGATTGTGGGTCAGATTCGGAGCATTTTTAAGAGTAGTTTAGCCGGTTCCTAAATAAATTAAGGGTTCGGTTCCTGTTTCTTAGATTTCACCCGGTTTCGGTTAGTTCTTATTCCGGGAATCACATCATTTTCGAAAGACAGATTTTTTTAAATTTGGGATTGTATTATTTTTATTTATTTAAAAATTTTATGATTACCTTATAAAACCTTTAGCTAAAAATTCGGAACAAAAAGCACCAACTGACAAAGGTTCGGTAGATGACGATAATCTATTCAACGAGGAACTTATTTTTTGTTTGATCGAAAAAATAAGAATAACCATGGGGAAACCCGCGTCCTACCCGCCTTTTTACTTTAGATGCCCTAAAGTTACCACTATAGAAGTATTTTTTTTTATGTTACTTATTTTATATTCTTCATATTTAATACTACAAATCAAAAAGAGATTGTTTGAGTTTGTTTAATTAAGTATGTATCATATTAATGCAATTTTGAAAAAAAGACTATTCATATAAAGACATCAGTAATTAAACGATTACACAAATGTCAATTCTAGCTAGTGACGCCGCTATCAGAGTTGTTAAAGCAGTGCTCTATTTTTTCTCGAGTTTAAATTAAATAAAATATGATAAAAAAACTGTTAACTATAAATACGAAAATTAATATATTTTATATATAATCCAATTAATTTTAATATTTTATTTAATTTTGCGCAATTCCAAAATATGTATTATAAATCCAATTTAGATATGGATCTAAAATATTTGTAAAGTCTGAAATAGAGATGTTGAGACCGAAAAGATAAACGAAATTTCTTAATAATAATGTTAAGATTATATTGCTATATTTAATTACCGAAAATATCAAGTTATGTAATTCCTTAAAACGGCTTTTTAAAATTATTCATTTTATTTTTTGTTATATTATTAATCCATGCCCATTGTTATCTAAACATACCTATTGATAATATGGTAGAAAAATTTTAAAAAATATATAATCCTCATTTAGCTATTAGCGTATTTAAAAAAAATAGGGATATTTTTTAACAATACCGCTTCTTATCATTTAGGCCTACTACTAGAGTCAATTTTTTATATGATTAAATATAAAGTACGCATGCCCCCCCCCAAGCCGCGTCACTGATTCTTGCTTTAAAAGATGCTCATTTAAAAAAATAAAGCCATTCGCTTTCTAACACTCGCTCTATTATTATATTCATATTTTTTAACTTTCACGGTTTCACGTATTAAAAAAAATGAATGTTATTTCTCTAGTTAGTTGTTTCTCCTCAACCCAAATATTTCACTTCTCCGTCTTCCAATAAGCTATCCTTGAGTCTAAATACCAAAGATCCTTCAACCTTTATTACTTGTCGATTAGAAACCTTACTAACAATCAATGTCGAAGGAATCATCAACGGGCCTAATTCACAAAATATCAAGCTTGCTAGGGTTCAGTGCCATTTTATAGCTGCCCGCTTAGGTAAAGGTGCTCATTCGAGGTTAGTATATTGTATAATATTATTTTAAAAAAATACTTCTATAATTATGTTATCGTATTGATTGTGATAAATTATATTGTCACTTATTTTTTTTTCTTGTCTTAATTAATTAGGAATTAATTGTAATATTGCAAAAGAAAGATATAAACAAAAAGAAAGTCAAGCAAATAATAAATATTCTTTATTTCTAGAATATTTATAAGAATTTTTAATTGATATTAAAATATTTGAAAAAAAACGAAATATAAATCTAAGATCGCGTTACATCGAACCCGAAATATCGTCGAGTGATAGCGAAACTCACGAAGATACCGAAAGCCATGTAGAATCTAAAGAAGACAAATACTCGGCCTATGCTGAGTTAGCCGAACTATATACTGACATTGTAAAAATAATATTTAATTCATTCTTACATAACATCATCATTAAACTATTGGCCCATCTACATTTCTCCTTGATTGAATAAAAACAAAAAAAAATGTATATTAAATAACATGAAATCAGGTAGAGCTGAATGGAGATAAATAGCCAAAAGTTGATATAGTGGCTTCTTCATAAAACAGAATTCTTCAAATACTGGCGGCAAGAATGGTTTCTTCAGGGAGCGAAATTCTTCAACTGCCGGCCTCATTATAGACGAATAAAGAAGAACACGTCTAATCTTAAACCTAATATCTTGGATTATTTATTATTTCTACTTCAAAATAAAATTAGGATTTAATTTAAATCAGTTTTATTTAATTTCCTAAATATTTCATATCATATTTTGTAATAAATATAATAAAATAAATAAATATAAACGAAATATTTAGATATCCATAATATAATAAAGAAAGAGGTTAGTGAATAAAATAAATATTTTGAGTTTGGGAATATTTTTCAATTCCATTATACTGGACCTACAGTTTTTTTGCCACCAGGATTGAGCCGTAAAAAATTAATTCTCCTGGATTCTATTCCCCTTTTATGAGCTCTCTGGTGAAAATATAATAATATATAATTTAATCCATATAACCATTCGATTGACTTTTACCTCTGAAAGATAGGCTAAACCTTTTTAAAAAGCTCAGATATGATGAGCTTAGATAGCTGCTTTTCACCTTAATATATTCAAGTTTCTTACGAAATATACCCCAAAAGATACACTCATATATAATTTTTATGCTTTGAGGTTGAAAGCAATGTTATTTATCTTCAACTTTAATATGAGCCCTTTCTTCTCAGTTACTTTCATTTTTTTAAATTTTTGTTTATATCAGTAAACAGTATGTCTGGCAACATTACTAATATTTTCTTGGTTTTCAATACCAGAACAATATAAAATAAGATAAACTAATACAACTCAGAGCCAATATCAATAACTGATTTAAATCAATACAATAGTAATGATATATAGGTTTAAAAGCAATATCAATATTATTCAAAATTAAGTAATACAAATAACTTATATTTTAAGATTTATTTAATAAATTTTTCAGGGATGCGAACCCAGCAAAAATTTTAGCCGGGTTTGGTTCAGGTTTAGTTCAAGATAAAAAATAATTGTTCGGCTCAGGGTAATATTTTTGAACTCGGGTTTAGTTCCGGTTTCAGCTCAGGTTTAGGAATTTTTGAATTGATGAAAAAACATTTATATTTAAATCATAATGAAAAAACTAGACATAAATTTAGTATTATAAAAAATAAAATTTTTATTTTATTTATAGGCAAAATATATTTATACATTTAAGGCATAATCATGATTCAATTTAAAAAAATTTATTTAGACGTATTAGCATAATTTCTTCCAAGAGCTCGTCCTAAGCAATGAAAAAATCAATTTCAAATGTGAAAAAGATATTTCAATGCTAATATTAAATATATTTATATGAAAATATGATAAATTAACTTGGGTTGCAGAAATAGCAAATAATTTTGGATAAAAATATAAATCAGGGTGCTGTAGCTTAGCAGACTCTCAAAAATGTAAAATATTTTCCTTCTTATCCAATCTTTTAAAATCGCCAAATTTAATAATTATCATTCCAAGTATTTTCTCCTGCCTTTCTTTAAGTTGTATCAATTTCTCTAAATCTGTTCAATAACTTCATCCGAACTATTATCATCAGAAAAAATGCGCGTGGATACGGATTTAATCCTAATCTATAAATTAACAAAATGTCTTTTCGCACAAATCTATTCATCATCATTAAATATATGAAATATTTAAGGATTTATACCGTTTATATATAAATAAATTTAAATATTAAAAAATCTCATTAAATTATTAATTTTGTATTTACAATTTATTAGTGTTGTAAACAAACGAACGCGTTCAAAATCGTTCGTGAACGAAGTTCGTTTTTTTGAAAAAAATGGTGAACGGCGTTCCTTTTTATTTTGACGAACTTTGAACGTGAACCCGTTCCTTTTTTATGAAGAACGCGTTCGAATTTAACGTTCGTTCAATTTTAAAAACACCTTTTATTTTTATTTATTTGAAAAATTTAATATTAATCCAAATTTTTTAAGAAAAATGTCTTGTATTTTATAATCAACTGTTTTTCCTTTTCACATTTAAATTTTTTTTAGCACACCATTATAGTTTATTAATTTGAATATTATTGTTTATATTTAATTTAATAGATTTGCATAAGCATAGAATTATTATTTCATCATCATTATCTGATTCTGAAAATTTAAAATCAGGTGAGTTAACATTACTATGGCCCAAATATGATAATTTTACAGTAACTTCCTATATTGAAGGAACTAATTTAACCAAATGTAAAATGTGCCTAAAAAGTATTATATAGTTTCAAAATCTTCACAATATAAAACGACATTTAATTGTAGTATTAATAAATTTTTTTATACTAGTAGATAACCCATCAAGTATGACGGGAATAAAAAAAATCTTGAACTATTATAAGAATTTTTTTTTTAATACCGACCTTAATAAACCAATTAAAATAAAGATTAATAAGCCTAAAAATAAAAAATAACAGCAAAATAATAACGTATATAAGAAAGATTATACTACAAAATTTAATATAGAAGGTGGCTCAGTGGGAAGAACGTTTGCCTTTAAAACGTTAAGTCATGGGTTCGAATCCAGTTATGTACAAAAAATTTTCTTAAAATTTAACATTAGAGAGATATAGTCTCCATCGATTTATTTAACATTAAGAAGATAGGAAAGTTGATAGGAAAAATAAAAATTAACATTAAGAAGATAGGAAAGTTGATGAGAAAAATAAAAATTAACATTAAGGATATACGAAAACGTTCATTTCTTGATTACGGTGATTATATATATATTGATTATCAAAATAAAACTATATTATTTTTTAACATGGCTAATATATTGTGTTAAAATATATAAGACATTAATTTAATTAAAAAAAAATTTACATAAAATTTTGAACGAACGTGAACGCGAACGTTAACGCGTTCCTTTTTTTTTGAAAGCGAACGTGAACGCGTTCGATTTTGTTTATGAACGCGAACACGTTCGATTTTTTTAGAAATGTTTACAGCACTACAATTTATAATTATCTTAATATATGATTTTAAACCATATTCACTGGACTCGGTTGAACCCGGGTTAAAAAAAATTCTCGGGTTCGGTGCGTAATTTTGGAAATTTCATAAACGGGGTTCAGGTTAGGTTTGTTCAGAATTTTTTTCCAAAAACCCTGGTTTTCTTCCCCAGATTTAGGTTTGGTTTTAATTCCTGTAATTTTTGTCGCAAAACTCTACTCATGTTTTATTTACCAAGTAATTTATTTTTGTTCTTAATTTACCGAAAAATATAAGTAAATAAAACCAATAATATAAACCAATAGCAATACAATTCAATATAGGTAAAATATTGTTGAAATCAATATAATAGTTTTAAACCGATTTCAATACAAAAGTATTGTGTTAGTCCGTTATTCAACAGCGGTGTATCGACATCGGTCTATCCTGGTATTTTCCCTTTTCTATGGCCAATATGTCAATTTTGATTTATTTGATTTCTATAACACATGAAAACTACTACGATTTATTATTTTGGCGCACAAAATTAATCTTTTAAGCCCAATAAATGATTATTATTTAAAAAACCAACGAATATTAAAATTTATTTTTTAATAAACTCATTTAATTATTCCTAATTTTTGATATAAGTAAATAAAAAAAATTCGTAAAATATATCTTATATTCATGCCACTTTATGTCCTTGTTTTTAAAAATATTTATTATTAATTTCATATATTAAATAAATTACAACATTTAGGGCTGAATAGATATCGGCCAAAAATAACTAATTAATTAACATAAATTGCTATTTAAAAGGCTTTCTTGAAAACTCGAGAAAAAATGCGACGAAACCCGGAAAGATTTATCAAAGATGTCGCCATACATAACGATTATTTCAACGTACAATTTCTCTTAGAGTTTCCCATCATTGGATTCTATACCGTTATGACCGATTGCTCGATTATAGGTAAAAAAAATTACCCAAAATATCTACCTCGTTTCCGTAATAAAATCACAATTTGATTGGTTCGAAACTTCATTAACATATTAAAATTTCTATGATTATTGAAAAGCTTTAGTTTTAAGCTTAATGACTTGGGTATAAATACAAAGTTTTTGTGTAGTTCTCAAACCTTCCAAGCCAAACGTTAATTTAGTTAAAATTGGGCTAGGTCAAAATTATTATTTTACCGGTCTATTCAATTTACATTTAAAAAATCCTCAAAAATTAAATTTTAAAATGTTATTTATGGAATATAAGATAGTGACATGTTTTGGGATTGGCATTTTTTGTAAAATTATTGAAATGGAATTAGAACCTTATAATATAGGGGTGGTTTACTTTTTTCTAGGGCTGTGCCGATATTAAATATCGGCACCGATATTTAGCTTTTTCCAAAAATATCGGATCGATACCTGTAAAAACCGATCCAATCTTTTTTCTTTTCTTTTTTTAATTTTATTTATATTTATTTTACATTAATAATATTTTCTAAATAATTTTTTTTTAAACAATGCAAATTCACAACACCCCTTAAATTTTATTTATTTTTTAAAATAGATTTATAGTATTTTAAAAGTTTTTTGATAAAAATAGAAAGGAACACCCAAAGTTTTATTTATTTTAAATCTTTTTAAATAATAACGCCAATTTTATTATTTATACTTTAAATAAAAGAATTTTTTTAAATATGGTTTCTGAATTATGGAAATATTTTACAAAAGACAAATATAATTTTGCAAAATGCGTTTGCGGAATTCTAATTTCATGGGGAGGAAAATGAAAATTCATTTAATACTACCAATATCCGTAAACTTTTTAAAATTATTATATAAATAATAAAATTAAATTAAATGTATAATTCGATTTTTTCCATAAAAAATATTGATTTCTTAATTACATTTGGTTCAAAGGTGGGTGGTGAAAAATTAATATATCTGTATCGGATCGGGTTTAAACCAATATCGGATCGGTGAAAAATATGTGGATCGGCACAGCCCTACTTTCCCTTATAATTGACTTATTTCTATCTTACATTGGAATTAAACAATTATTTTTAGATTCTAACGAACAAATTTGGGAAACTGGGCCTCATTCTGAATTACACGTCAAAATAACATCAGCTATTATTTAATTAAAAAACAGCGCTTTATTATTATTTTTTTTAAATGTACTAATATAAAAATATGTAAAATTGTATTTTTCCGCAATAAATATTTATTATAAAAACTATTACGTTGTATAATGGATTCTCAATTTTTTGAAAACAAAATTAGTAATAGGAAAATTTTTATTCTCGCAATATTTTCCATGTGGATCGTCCCCCGCTAATGACCAAATGGTAGCTCCCGCCAAATTATAGTTGTCGATTAGTTTTATCTAAGATTTTAGTGATATAGAATTTTAGTTCTTAAAATTTCATTTATATAAATATAGATGTAATCATAGTAAATGTTAAATTTATTGTAATAAGTTTAATACCATAATAATAATCCATGAAGACAAGCGTCGCAGAAAAGTGCCATTTTAGAAATTTATAACCTATTTAATAAATTAAAAAATTTGCCTTTTTTATTTAGAAGATTAATTTGAATATCTAGCCCATATGGGCTCAATTATATGATACACATAGGTCAATTTAATAACAGAGACCTGCATAGATACCATTTGTACGGCCCGGATTTGGAAAATAATTTGGCCCGGCCCCATTTTATATTTTTAAGTCTGGTCTGGCCCCATTTTTTCAAATAAAATTCTTCTTCCGTATTTCTTTAAAAAAAAATTTGGTGTATAATTTTTTTCTACGTTGATTTAAAAAAAAATATACATTGGCATATTACGGATCACATTTGTGAATATGAAATCCATATTGTCATAGCCTTGTAAAATTAAGAAAGTATATTTATATAGAAAGCGTCCATCAACAATATTGCATATTGTTGATTGGTGGGAAAAAAAAATAATATAATTAAAAAACGGAGTTACTTTTTTCATATCAAGGTATTTTTTTCGATGAATAGAATCAATATATTTTTTGATGTCAAAAATTCTTATCAATTTTTTTTGTTGTAATTGTTATTCGATTTTATAGATAAATAATAATAAATATATGTGGAAATTAAAAATTGGGTTACATTTTATATAAGATTGCAAATTTGTGAGAATTTAAAGGAAAAGAAAGATGTTATAATTGAGAGTAAGTGAGATCTAAGAAACTTTTCAACTTATCTTAACTCTCCCCATATGTCTTAAAAGGAGTGAGTTTGAATCACCACACTTAATCGACTGGTCGATAGTAATTTCCTTATTTCCTGTCCCTCTTATAATTTAATATCTTCTTTTATATAATTATTAGTCTTTTGGCTCTCTCCCTAACAACATACATAATTGCATGAATTTGGGACATAAAAAGATAGATAAAATTGATACTTATCTAAAATAAATTTTTCCTTATAAAAAGTGTATTATATTTTAAATATTGAGTGCATCTTTATTGCTTTTGATTGAATATCACCAATATAATGATTAGTTTAATAATTAATTAGAATAATATTTTACTATAAATATTTTCTAAGGCTCGAAGGTTAATGTTAAATATCGCATCATACGATATTGATACAATCAAAATGTGATCGAGGTAACTAATGTTTATTTCTAATATTTATATTTAAAAAATAGTCATTTTCTAAGAGCGTCTGTGGCCTAGTTGGGTGAGTGCATGTTAATCCGGTAGTTCTGTGTTCGATCCAGCAACCATGTATTTTTGAAGCCAACTGGGTGATCTCAACTACCTGATTCCGATAATATTTATTAGTTATTATTACAATTTTTTAATTGAATTCCCAAAAAGGAACCATAATTATGTCTAAAAAATTTTATTTGAATTTTTTTACGCATATTTAAAAATTTCTGGCTTCTTTTGTAAAAAGCCATTGCCTAGATTTTTTAAAGACATGGCGAAAAATGCATTTGCGGAAGTCACTATTGGAATGAATATGAAGTTGTTAAAATTTTTGTATTTGTTAATATTTTTAGTTTCTAAAAAAATCTAGCCAATAAAATATGGCTTTTTACAAACGAAACCAGAGAATTTTTATATCAAAAATATAAATTGCAGGATATAACATTTATCAAAAAGATATTGTCACAATTGCGAAATTAAATAATAAATATTTGTTATGATGTAATGTCAATCAAAATACGAAAATATTATTATTGATGGTTTTATTCAATCGAAAATGGATTTCATTTTATGAAATCTAATTAATTTTACGAAATATTGAAAAATTGCAAATGATTTTATATTTGATAAAAATTTAAGAATGAAATTCCTATTATTAAGATAAAAGATGAATCTAAGAAAGATATAATATAAAAATAATTATTTTTAAAAAATTCATATTTTAATGAAGCCATATTTTAATTTTTTCAATTATCCGCGGGCCGGGCCTAAATTTTTTTAAAATTATCCCCGGGCCTAAGCCAGGCCGAAAAAAAATTTTTGAAAAAAATCCCGAATCAGGGTAAGCTTAAATGTTTTTTTTAATAAATTCTGCCCAGGCTGGGCGGTGCAAATGGTATCTCTGCAGTGTCTGTTATATATTAAACAGTTTTTGTAACAATAATATATAATAAGAATGTTTTGTGTAGGCAAGTTAAACAAAATTTTTAAATAAATGAGCAGGCAGGTGCACCAAAACTTGCCCATTGCAGACCTCTAGTCAGCAGGATGACATTGAAAACAGCAAATTATAATGGATTTTACCTCTGCCAAAGAATCCATTTATAAATGATATGTGTCAGCCACTTTTATTTTCCCATGCATTTACCACCAGATTTCTTCAAATGACAACATTTTCAGGCCCAATGGGAATTTAAATGCCCATCCCAAAGGACGGAACCACCAAGTTGGATTAAGGAAAAAATACCAAGTTGGATTATGAAAAAAAATGTTCTTTGCTGCGATTCAAACACAAAGCCATCAGGTTTGTAAATGACTCTCTTGCCGATTAGGCCACAGACCCTTTTCAAAATTCACAATTTTTTAAATATATATTATAAATTGTCACACTGTGACTCGGACAGTGTGAGCGTAACACGGCTTTTATATATATTATAGATGCGATTTAAATAAAATGTTATAAAGAATCAAAAATATATGAAATATTTTTAAAATCATTATAAACATAGCCTTTTAAAATAAAAATTTTTATTTTGCAAATGGTGATTATTTTAAAGACGTTTTATTAAGCGTTGAGCAGTCTATGTTAATATAAGTCTAAAAAATACGAATCGAATCGAATATTTGCATTATTCATAAATTCGTATGAATTTAACAATTCTTTATTCTATTAGTATCAATAATGAAAATATTGATTTCGTTGAATATTTGATTTGAAAATTAAATTCTTTAAAAATAAAGAAAAGGATTATTAAAATTTTAAAAATGATTTATAGATGTGGAAATAAAGTAAGGCTCCACAAATACCCTATTAAATTTAGCGAATAATTTTGAATACTATTTTTTTATTATTCGTATTCGATTCATAATTCTGAATTGAATAATTTTGTTGTTTATATCGAAGAAAGAATAATTCATTTTAGTATATTTCTGACCTAATTTAATATCTGTATTAAATTATTTAAAAGATGAGTGGTAAAATAAAATAATTTTTAAATTATTAAAATATATTTTTTAATATAATTCTATTTTGCCTATCTGTTCAAGCAGGAAGATAAATATTTTACAAACTAAATTATTAGGCTAAACATCCAGTGATTATAATATTTTATTTTTCATTTTTAAATTTGATATATTTAAAATTTTTTGTGTTTGAAGCTATGATCATAATTTTGTGTCTGCAATATAACTCAATGATATTTGCAATTATAACATAATTTTTGAAATCTGCTGATAAAATTTAGCATTTATAATGTTTCTATTTACCTTAGACAAAATATAATAAATAAAAAAAATTTGATACGCTAATATTATTTATATAATTATTAAAATTTTCGCAAATGTTAATAATATAAAAATGTATTTAATTACTATTTTCGAATTTTTTTATATGTATTTAGTATTTACATTTTAGATACATTTTTTAAAATATATTTATATTCAAATACGTTTTTGAAGTATATTTGTATTTATATTCGACACTTATTGAAAATGTACTAATTTAAAACCAGAATTTCAGATTATAAAACAAAAACCATATTAAAATTAAAAAATAAAACTGTCCTTTTTTATTTTCCAATTGTCATTAAAAATTGTGTTAAATTTTCAAAATAAGAATATTCAAATTGTAATTATTCTTTTCTTTACCTTGTTTACAATACTTTTTTCATTTTCATACGAAACAAATTGATCGCCAGAGTAGGCAAAAGGAGCATCAGCCATATTATCGTAACCCACAGACCAGTTTTTATAGTTGATGTTTTCACATATCTGTTTATTTTAAATGGCGCATTATTAAATAAATGACTTTTTGAGAGTTATTTTTAAAGGTTAGTTTGAGAATTATTTAACTTATCTCATTTTAATATTTTAATTAATTCTTGCCTATCCAGTTTAAAAAATATGATAATCCCTTAAGTTGACAAATTTAGCTTCTATGATTTTATCTTATCCAAACTGTATTCTTATTTGCCCTAGGATTCATGTTCAATTATCCATTTTAGTCTTTTTTTTGCTATTGCTGGCAGGCCAAAATGGCTTTTTCTTTGCCTTAAAAATGGCGGACAATTACTATTTTTTTAAGATATCTAATAGTGCACCTAAGATGAAAGATTCATAGAATGAATCTTTCTATTTTAAATACTTATAGAATAATTTTTCTTGAGGAATGAATTCTATTAAGATGTAATATGACGGATACATGAATGTCTATCTTCCGTCAATATATTTAAGATTTCGTAAGTTGTAACACTTTTCTTACCTCTTTTTCACTGAATAAAAATTTTTGGGTTTATTTTTTTTACGATTAATCATTGATATTTCAGAATTTTATCATAGAGATCCTATCTTTATGAAATTTAAGAATTTGGGTTTTTTAAAAAATTTAATATAATTAAATAACCGAGCATTATTTAATAAATATATAACTTGAAAAATATTTTAAACACAAAACAATAATATGGAAACAGATGATACAAGTTAATCTTCAAATCTCGGCCGATGGGGCCGGGCAATTTATACATTAAAAATCAATAAACTGTGCCGGACAATTTATATTTAAAAATCGGGCGAGGCTTTGCAAATTTCATATTTTTTGTAAAATTTTAATGGCCTAATCCAAGTATTAAAATTTTGATATATTTTTTTGAATTTTAAGCCAATATTTTGCTTAATACCATTTGAAATTACAATATGCCTATTTCTAAATATTTTAAGAGATGTTTAACTAAAATACTGAATCTATAAATATAATTAAGAATTCACAAATAAATTAAGCAAGTTATTTATGATATGATCCAATTACAAATTTACAATATAGTTATCAAAAATAGTTGATTTATAAAACACTTGTTATAGAAATAATCTATAAAGAGATAAAGAGCTTTTGAGATTTGGAAAAATTAGGTAAGGTAGATATAGACATTAAAAATGTGATGGTCGGAAAATTCATCTAAAAAAGATTTTTCAGGCCTGTAGGAGCCAGACGAATATTTAAATAAGGGGTCGGGCTTTACAGACCTCTGATGCAAATACAAACCTATAATTATAAAAGCTTCATTTTTATTTTATACTATATGTTAAATTTGAATTAATAATTATTGATAAAATTTAGATTTACCCGTAATATATGGGCCATGCAAAGATTTATAAATTAAGATTTTAGGCTTAACCCCTCATTCATAATTAGATTGACGTCAAATTATAGAAAATACGCTGTGATTTTGTGTGTTTTAATTTAATAGTTATAAAAATAAAATTTGCTATCTAATTTGATTTAGCCATAATAAAAACCCAATATTATGTAAAAGTATATGTAGCCTGCCCAAAAAATAAAAAAAGGCTGACATGAGACAAACCAATATTTGCCCCTCCACTTATAATAATCTTGTCTACGTCTTATTTAATATGAAACATTTTTTGCTGAAATTAGAGAAGTGCTTTAACAAGATGTGCCATCAAAAATATCGCTTATTAGACTGGTTGTTATACTTCACTGTACAATAAGTATCCGGGTTGGTCTTTGTATACCCCAGTTTTTCCGCAATTCAAGAAAATGGGCTTCATGCTTTTGCTTTTTTTGTCACTGGTTCTGTGTTCAGCTCTCCATTTTTGAATCAGCAACAGCTGGTTGCCTATGTTCGGAGTGATATAACTACGTCCAAATGCTGCTATACCTACTAGTATTTTGTGCGGTGCCATCCCGTTATCCATCCAGTGACTCAGAGATTTGTGCTTATGCATTATGTAAAAAAATACATATCTGAATTAATTTTATAATAAATTTTTAACGCTTAAATTATATTCATGGCTATTTTTCTTTTAATCGGCATAGTAAAGTTAGTTTAATTTTGAAACAAAATATTAATAATTAATAACATTTCAATTTTGTTAACATATAAACAAAAATTTTTGTTACTAAAAGCATCTTGTAATCTTGTTAGTAACATTTGAAAACAATTCAATTAATTATACTCCTTATAAATATTATCTTTTTCTATGACCTAAAATATTAAAAAATTTAACCTAATTAACTTACAACATTTTCTTCCTTCTCATCTAAATCATTATAAGGGCTTAGGTATCCAATCAATTTAGAGGTGTCCCAGCATCCATTATAATCATATGTCATGACAGTAATAAAATCGATGTATCTTACAAAAAATTATTAAATAAAATAAACCAAAATAATTATAACTTGAGATTACCTAGAAATATACAAAATATCATATCCCGATGTTATGATATCGGTATTAGCTGAGCCGGTTAAAATAAGCAAGAGAGAAGCTTGGTTTACTCTCTCGTTAGTGTCAAATTCCGTCCTTATGTCCTACAATTTATGATAATTCGATATATTTTTTAAAATAAATTTGTTTATGATTATGTTGTTGAGACTGAGTACCTACTCACAGACACGTAGTCTACGGGAGGGGGGGGGGAGGGATCTGTTATTCTCATAAGCAAAATTTTCGGAAAATATATAAGGCCTTTATGAATTTTAAAATGCGGAGTATATTCTTTTTCTAATAGGTTATATTTTATTTTAAATTGTAGTTAAAAGTTAAAATTAATTTTTATATTTTTTCCTTTTTATCTATGAAAATTTGAAGCATATATACTTACATTTTTTAACCTCAAACACTGATGGATATAAGAAGATTTTATCAATCAAAAAAACCTAAGAGATAATTTAATATAAGAAATAGATAACTTAAACCCAATAACCAGAAATTATAAAAACTGATCACTCATCTTCACAATCTGATGCACAATGATTGCAAATAAAACTATTGAACGAAATGAAGAATCTAAAGATAGTAAAGGAGGAAATTAGGTCTTCAGGAGGTTAGTAACCATTTTTTTATAGAGAATTTGCTGAATAAATTATTCTTAAGACTTCTTTTGCTACAAAAATAAAAAAAACTGTAAAAAGCATTCCGGGCACGGTGAAGTATTCGACATCTGGCTTTTGAATCTAGAAGAGCCTATTTTGATTGCCCTTGGAGAAACATCAGAATGACCTGAACCAGATATATAATCTGAAGCTGGACAGAATTTGATGAATAAATTTTTTTTAAGACTTCTTTTGCTACAAAAATAAAAAAAATTCTAGAAAGCATTCCCGGAACGATGAAGTTTTGACATCAAGCTTCTACCAGATTTTTGAATCTAGAAGAGCCTATTTTGATTGCCTTTGGAGAAATATCAGAATGGCCTGAACCAAATATATAATCTGAAGCGTATATATTAATAGATTCAATAGGATAACCGATTATTTTTTCGTATTGGAATGTATTAATAAATTTTTTAATTACACAAACATTTTATACAATATTTTTCAAAAAAATGAAAAAGATTTGGCTGTGGTTACACGAATATTATTATATACAACTTAGTAAACGAAGAGATTCTTTCTTTCTTTCTTGAACGAGGTTATATGATTTTTAGTTCATAATTTTATTCCATTTTGGATACATTTTTCCTCATATTATTGAACGATTTGTGATACATCAAATGGCTTCATCCAATTTACAAATACTATTAATAGACTAATCTGAGTGAGTGAAACATCTTCTAAATCCCAATAGTATAGGCTATTTGAAATTATTAATATATATTTTTTAAAGACTATATATTTTTAGAAAATTGGATTTTAAAAAAAATTATTTTGAGAGGATACAAATGTATCTGAAGGCCATATCTATGGTTAATTAATTAGAATTTAAATCTTAGTAAGAACGATTAATTTTAATTAATAATTCTCCAAGAAATGCCATGGAAGTATTGCATACTTTAAAATATATCTTGCAATTTTTTCAAAATATATTAAATGTAAATTTTGGCAACAAAATCAATTAACCCTATCTCAGATGTGCGATATCACAAAATCCATAGAATTATCTTTACTTAATTTAAGTAAAGATTTAATCTTCAATTACAAAACAAATTATTAAATTGACGCAATCGCAAGCAAGATTAAAATTCCATTTATGATGGATAAATTATCATATGATGTTTAATTCTTTATTTAATTCTGATTTACATACCGGGTTATATAGCTATAATATTTTTTGACCCCCCCCCCCTCTTAGAAAAATCTTGGCTATGCGTCTGCCTACTTATTTGTTATACTAATCATCAAAATTGAATTTACTAAGGTATAATTAACGTTTTTAATACTTTGCTTGTTATAATGTATATTCTACTCATCCATAAATTATAATTATTTAGACTCAAACCAAAAATTGTTAATTATAATAATTTAATATCAGAAAGTCCGATATCATAGACCTTATTTTGCAATATGATTAGGAATTTTAACTTAACAATGTTTATCCAAGCATGATTGCAATCAAAATTCAAGAATTGTACTAATAGATTTAACTGCCCCTATAAATTAATCAAATGCTTGACAAAATTTTGTATGGTTTGTTTTTCAAGATATCATATTATATAGCAATGGATTTGTTTATAATATTGTATGTAATTGTAGAACCTTTAGTAAATGGTTTAGATTTCGTTTATCTTGGACTTGACCTCCTCGTTCATTAAAACCCGGATATTCCCAATCGATATCCACCCCATCAAATTCATAATAGTATAAATAACGAGCTAAGTTCTTAGCAAACTTTCTTCTGATGACAGGATGCGAGGCTAATGCGCTAAAGTGAGATTGGTTAGAGCTCCAACCACCGACAGAGAGAATAATTTTCAGATATGGGTTTTGTAGTTTGAGATTGATCAATTCCCTGTATAATTCTATAGAAATTTGAAATAATATCCATTATATGCGAAATATGCCAACAAGTTCATTTAATCGATTAATCATTTTTCCCTTGCTAACTTTTACAACAATATTTTGTAAACAGATTACAGATATACATACTATTATTCCTAAAACCCTAGCATATAATATAAGTTCCCAAGAATATATTGAAAGCCTTTTCCAATAAAGCACATAGGAAAATCTTTAACGCTAAATTCAATCGATTGAATTAAATCATATCAACTAACGATTGCACCAGACCTCCTCAGATTAAAATTTTTTTGGTGGTAGTTTATAACTGAGGAAGAAAAATATAAATTTTTAATTTTTAGTTTGACTTACTTCCTAAGATATGCTACCTTTAAAAACGTAAAATTTTCACATTATGATATCTCGAAAAATATTTTAGCTAAAACCATGAATTTCATTTTTTTATATATGGCAATAACACGAATTTACCACTTTTTAATAGGGAATTCACGAATCAAACTTGGGTGCATTACAATTTTTCTCTTAACGTCATAATTTTTATCAATGTAAGATCTTCTTTTGATAACATTTTAGGATATTATATATTCTTAATGAGATACAAAAATTTCATACCGGTTAAAAACGAATCTCTCTAGTTGCAAACTTACTTCTTGATGAATTATTTCAGGGATAGTGCTATTAAAATTCCTACCTTTCTAAGCAAGCTAGTTGGATTAAGTTCACCTTATTATTTATTATTTAGAGAATCAATGATATAAGCTTCATAACATCTGGCTCAAAACAAAAAAATATTGACTTTTATATGAAAAGGCATGAAAATCTATTTTATCTCTTATAAAAGTCAGTTACATTGGAATAAAACTTCGCGAACTAGACTTGGATAAAATTATGGGACGCTTTCGGAACGAGAACGTTGTTTCTGTATCTGTTCCAAAAAATATTATGAAACTAGTTTAATTTATGATATAATTGTTTATTTTCACTTTTAATCCGAATTTGCTTTCTATACAACAAAATCATTTTAAGTATTTTATTATGATAGTTTAATATTTTAACATAAATAAAATAACTGTTATATATTTAATATTATATTATAAAATGTTGACAGATGGTCTCTCTTTTTGTGAAATCTAGAGGATAAAATATTTTTGACTAAAATCTTAATTTTAGCCGTTTTTTTGGCTCTTTCGAGGTTTTTAACAAAACTAAAATATGTTCGCTTATTTAATTTTATTAAGAATGTGTATGTGGCCATTCGTTTATTTTTATATATTTTTTCAAGAATAATTGGGTTGTAACTTTTAAATATTTTAATGCAAATAAAAATTGGGTTCTATCCTCAAGTTTAGTAAGACGTCTTCTTCAGGAGGGAAGTCCTTCATTCTGCCAATTAACTAAGAGCACTTATAATAGGCACCTCTAACTAAATAAAATCGTGATTCCTTGCTAGTGAAGGTTTTTTCTATACGATCAAAATAATTTATTAACTAATCTAATTAATGCATAAAAAAACATTAAAGATTTTTAAAAAATTTAATAACATTCCTTATAGAAGTATTTTTAACCTATTTATAAAAAAATCTATTAGATACATTATATTTTAACATATTTTATAAAATATAATAGAATAAAATCACTTCTTTGCCAAAATTATCTATGGCTGGTACTAGATTCCTTTAAATTTATAAATAGGATTTAAAACATGTGTTTTTTTAATGTTGGTGAAGGCTTTATTTTAATTATCAAATTTTCTAAGGGATAGTCAACTCAATGAACTCTATAAAGCAAATATTTTATATTTAGAATATCCTATAGAAATAAATAAATATATAATCATTATATTGACAAGCATAATATATTATGATAAATAACCTTATATTTTGAAGGAAAAATTAAATATATAGTCTCTTTTATTAAGCCTTTATTCCAGTGACTTTATTCCAATGAAGCTAAAGAAATTAAAACGCTTAATAAATATTTTTGAAATAAGTAAAATATTTCAATATTATTCACTATTCGATTTTTATCATTTATAAAAAATTTATAATCAAATTACATTTTCTAATCATATAAATAATAATATATTATTTTTCAATTCAAAATTTTAAAAGACTTTTAGTGCCATCTGGATTTGATAATATCATTTTACTAATTAGACAAGTGATATTTATTGCTATATAATATATGATTCATAATAATATAAAGTAGGGAATATTTTGGGACAATTTATATGTTACTAATTTCTAAAATATTTTTATTGGATTATCTAATTTATAACAACATAATTTTTCACTTTTATGGTTCCATTCAGTGTTAGCGATCATAAAATCCTTATTGAGTTGCGCGAAAGCGTATATGATATGCGTGCAAATAAATGGGTCAATGTCAGAAGTTGCGAATTTATATCTATTTTCATTGTATTGATCCCAATCGGTGAAATAACAAAATAGCAAAAAATCTAATTAAATAATTTTTAAGAATATACCAATAAAAATAATAATAAAAACTTGAAATCTTCTTCATCGGTTGTTTATTATGGTCAAACACTAATATAATCATGTACTTATTAAAGATACAACATTTATTTTAATAAGTCTATGTTTATAATGATTTTAAGGTTAAATATTTAAGCTTTTATTTCTCTAAAAATGATGAAATAAAATCAGGCGCGTACGCCGGAATTTGGTCTGAAGGGGTGGGGGGGGGGATAATAAATTTTTTTAAGAAATATTATTGTTTTTTAAAAATATCAAGCATAAATTTATTAGGACTAATAACTATTTCTAATACATAATTTTAAATTATTGTGAATTATAAAAAAATTATGTATAAACTGGCATATAAAAAACTATTAAATAAATGTGAATTAAAAAAATTATATGTATAAACTGGCATATAAAAAACTATAAAATAAATGTGAATTAAAAAATATTAAACGGATATAACTGGCGTTATGAAAAACTATAAAATAAATATGAATTATATAATATAAAGTGAATATAACCACTATAAGAATCACTTAAATGACCCAAAATAGAAATTTGATTTTTTTGAGCCTAAACATTATATATAAAAGTATAAAAGATTTAAATGTTGGAAATATAAATTAATACACAAAAAGTTTCTTAAGAATAATTGTATTTTGTATGTTATATATTTACAATATAAAATCCAATCTTCGTTGGGATTGAGCTAATTTTCCAATTATCTCATCTTTACTTGTCGTCAAATGCCTATAAATATTCAAAATATCCAAATCTTTCAATCTACTTTTAGAAGTTGTACTTCTTGGTATGTTTTTGACCTGCAGGCCCGGCTCCCGGGCTGGACCGTATTTTAATTTTTTTAAATATACCCGGGCCGGGCCCGAAATTTTTTTAAAAAAACACCCAGACCGGGCCTGTTTTTTTAAAAAATATCCGGGCCGGACTGTATATTTTAAAACAGCCTATATTTTAAATCGTTATTATTCGCTATAAAAATCAAAAATAATATAATTTATTTTTTTTAAAACACCCGGGCCGGGCTTGAAATTTTATTTTAAAAACAGCCGGGCCGGGCTTAAAAATGAATCTTCTTAAAACTAAGTCTGGTCGGGCCTGAAAATCTTTTAAAAAAATCCGGGCCGTGCCCTGTAAATGGTACCTCTGCATGACTCTGTTATTCTTCTTAAAAAAGAAAATGTTCACTCTGTTATTCTTCTTAAAAAAGAGAATGTTCTCTCATTAGTTTACTAATGGGAAGAGTTGCTAAGATATATAAACCCTTTTAATATATTGTGAATATAATCTAAAATGTATTTGAAATAATGAAGAGCATCCATAGCTATAAACATAGTATTTCAGCTAATAAGGCATCATAAGATACTTTAACATCTTCATGATAAAAATCTAACAAATATTTTTCTATCACCATCTGAAAAAAATTGGGAAGGTTTTTGTGGAAGTAATATTTTCATATTGGTAAGTGTTGCATGTTGAATTAAAAACCATTCATCTATTTGGGTTATAAATGTATCTAAGATATACTCTTCTACCGATCCTATATTAATGTTTTAACGATGAGCTTGCTTTGCTGCAAGTCGAGGGAAACCAATATTAAATAGCTCTGCTTTTGACTCAACAATAACATATAAAATATGAAATTATTCATCAACATTAGCCCTAATTTCCTTGAGTTCTAATAAAATGCTCTCCGCTATTCTCATCTTCTTAATCAAGTCAATATAATGTTTTTGAAAAGTATTACATAAAATAGTTGTATAATTAAATAATGCATTCTAATGTAAAAAAAATTTTGAAATAAGCATTGAATCCAATAATTTTCTTGCTTCTGAGGAAATATTTCTTTCAGGCCATTTTAATATTTCAGTAATAGCAAATAATCGGCTCTTCTAACTCCATAAAAGCTGTTACTGCTTGATGGCGGAGACTCTATCTCGTTAGACAAGGTTGCAATTTTTTTCTGTTTGTTGGACAAGAAGTTTCAGAAATAATTATTATTTGACTAGAAATTTGAAAATGGTAGATAAATATTACGCCACTAAAAATTTGATAATAATTAGTAAATATTACGACGGAAAACTTGAAATCGATATTAAATGATAAAATAACCTAATAGATGAATGTGATAAATAAATGTAATTAAATATATATTTAATATAAGATAGGAATAAATATTAACAAATATAAATTAATATTTTTGAAAAATATATCCGGCATCTGCATTTTTTGACTTTGGAAAGGGGGGGGGGGGATTTATCCACCTGCCCCCCCCCGCTGCCCCCCCGCTGCGTACGCGCCTAAATAAAATGTTTTTATATCTAGGAACTAAATTAATATTTGCTTGCATTACTAAGGGAGTCTAATTCCTGATCTAGCATATGCTGTTTAAAAAACTCTCTTTTAACTGCATGGGTCTACTTACTTTTTATTATTAATAGAAAACCTAGATAATTTAAAAAAAATTATAATCATTTTGATTCAAAGAAACATCCTATTTATATTATATAATAAAGTGATAAGGAATAAAAATAATTGAAAAAAAGAAATCGAAGATATTAACTTTATATTTGTAAATTAAAAAATAATAAAAAATAAATAATATTAATTAAAATTTTAATTACTCATGATGATATCATAATAATCACCCAGATCTTTTATTAATGATTTAATTCATTTAAATTAATAATTAAATTTTTTTTATATAAATATGTTAGTGACAATTTATTTTTTCCGCCAATGTGTTATTTTTTCAACTTTATACTATTTTTGAACGCGTTTTTTAAATTTAATTATCTGATTTTAAAATTTATTACATAATGTTTGGAATATCTACTTTATGAATTCTAGATATTACCATGAACTCTTGAACTTAATATAATTTATATTCGTTTTCCCATAGTTTTTTATATAAATTATAAATGACTCAAAGGTAACGGCAAAAGTGTCTGGCATTCATAAGATATATTCCAATTATGATGGAATATATTTTCAGTCAAATCAGATTTTTTAATTTAAAAAAACGCGCTCAAAAAAATGATTTTGAAAAAATAACACATTGCCGGAAAAACACATTAACACTAACATATATACTTACAATAATTGTTATTTTAATATAGTATTGCATTTTGAATTAATAGTTATTGAATTAAAAGAAACTTATTTCTTCCATTGAAATTGCCATATATATAGGCCATTTAGATTTAGCTTGTAAATATTTTGTTAATGGACGAATTTAAAGTAAAGACGCATTTATTTAATTGATAAATTAAAATATGATAATTTTAATATGTTGGATGAAAAAAAAATGCAATGCAGAGACGTGAGTATTTGTTTGGTTTAAAAATTCTCTTATAACTGCATCATAGATCCTGTTAATTGGAAATCTAAATAATTTTAAAAAATAATCATCATTTTGATTCAAAGACACATCCTATACCATATAATAATAAAGTGATCAATAATAAAAATAATTTTAAAAAAAGTCAAGATATTAACATTATATCTGTAAATTAAAAAATAGTAAAAAATAATGTTAATTAAAATAATGGAATTATATACATGATATTATATATTATAATTCAGATTTAACTTAATTTTCATTATATAAAGATTGTTAAGGGTTTAAGAAAATTTAAGAATGTAATTTATTAGTAAACAAAGAATAAATGTACATATGGAAAAGTTACAACCTTATTTTTGCTGAACAAAAAAAAACTTTTACATGAATTTTAAATTTATGTCATTTTATATTATAAAATAAAATAGTATTCATATTCTGTTGTAAATTAAGTCAATTTTAGTTATATAAAAAAATATACAGAAAATTATTCATATTTTATATTTAATTTTTTTTATTCATTTTTATATGAATTTTTAAACAATAGTTAATTATTTTTTATATTATAACTTTTTGAAATTTTATTTCTTGCAATTTATATTACAAAGTGGTGTACTTTGTTTCTTTTTATTCCAAATATTAATTAATATGTAAAATAAGTAATAATGATCTTTAAAATACATGCTGTATTTATAGCATTTCTAAAGTAAAGTAATTATAAGTATTTGAATAATAAAATTATAAGGAAAATAAAAGTTATTTCACAAAAACGTTATACAAATTAATTGAAATAATATATTAATGAAAATGATATTTTTGTCGAATAAATTAATTTAAATAATATATTAGTAAAAATAATATATATACAATTATTTCATTCGTAGCATCTCTCTTTTTAACTTATTTTTCCTGTCAATTCGTCACTGCTGTTCAGCTCGTTTATGTCATGCTTGTTCATATCGTTGTCTTCTGTCTAGTTTCTTTTTGCCCTTCTAGTCCTATCTTTAGATTATTTGTTATTCTCAATCGTGATCATCATCATTTATTGTATGTTCATGGGTAGAATAATAAGAATTGAATTAAAATCGAATCCTACATAAGAATAAGAATTGTTTCTCATTTTTAATATGAATTTATTCGCTTTTGTATTTTTCTTTTATGTTTCGCGTTATTTATATTTTTAATATTTATTAAATCGCATATTATTTATAACTTGTCTTTCCAAATAATTTTTATATTCATTTACGTTCAATACATAATCTTTAAAATGACTTAGTAATCTTTTTACTCTTGTCAGTCTTTCTTTGTCTCTTCCCCCTTTAAAGTATCCTCATTGTTTCGTAATAGTATTACCTACTGTCTCCCATTTTCTTTTCTTTATTTAGTCGATGTGTCTTCTAATTATCTTGCATCCAGTGTTAATTTTGTATAATAACTCATTTTCTTTTTCAACAACAATATCTTTGTCTCGTTTGTTTTCAAAAAACGTCTAGCACCTATTGTCTCTTTTTTTTATTACCCTGCTAGATGTTTTTATTATTATCATGACCTTATCTTTGTCCATGACTGGTTCTAACAAATCCCATTTAATTCTGGTGTAGTGCAGGAATAAAAGCT